GACCCGAGTCCCGCCACGCAACCGAGCCCGCCTGGGGAAGGAGGAGAGGGCGGCCCTCAGCGGCCCCTTTCCCGCCCGCCAGCCTATCACAAGTGGAGGTATTCCGCTAAGGGCCAATGGGGAGGCTGGAGGGGTGGGGCGTTTCGCGACAACAAGTTAGATCGAGCAGCGAGGAGTTGCTCCGACTGTACCACTGTCGCAGGAGGAGAAGGACAGGGGTGTTTCTAGGTGGGCTGTACCATTTTCACACAAGAGGGGGGGAACATTCCGCTGATTTTATCCCCTGCGAAGCAACGGGCGCCCCCCCCGCCGAGCAGGCAACGTGGGATTTTCGGGGCGGGGGCGGCCAAGCATTCGTAGCTTCTGCTTTTCAAAACTTTGCGCTGCGCCTTCTTTAAAATTCCCACACGCACACCCGCATCAAACTTTCTTAAGATGCAACTTGCCAAATCTTAAGATTTAGGAAGTTTTAGTCTCATTCGCTGTTCTTACTTTAGCTGAACTTTTCGAAATGGCTCCTTTTATCTTGGACGGATTTGCTTCATTTTAAAACTTCCCCTGCTCTGTGCGCTGTTTTTTGACATATTCTGATATATTTTAAATTACTGTAGTCTTTTTTTCCTTTTGAAAAACCAAGTTAGGAATTTTAAAGGAAAACACGTTCACATCAAAACCAACCAGTGTATTAAGCGTGTGTGCATATAGAAAACATCACATTATATAATTTCATAACTATGCAATGGTTTTGTAAGCCACGGTTTATAGTCTTAACATCCCGTGTGAACCCAGGTTATTATGGCATGTTCAAGAAACAGTGGTGTTAAATGCTGTTGCATTTAAGTGCCTGTAAATACCTTTCTTCCCTCCTGTCTCCTCCACCTTCCTTTCTTCTCTTCACCAGATCCAAAGTGTGGTCCAAAAAGTCAGGATGGCCCAACGGTGCAAGCAAAGCTCTGCCTCTTTTTCACGCGTGTCGGTACAGACATAAAAAACAGGCGGTCCTCGGACCCCACCATTGTGGGCGCCATCTTGACTTTTTTGACCACATCCCAGAACCACTTCCTGTCGCTTTGATTCCACCTCCAGACCAGGTTGCACAGCAGTCCCAGGAAAGCCAGGGCCTCCGAGGGGGCAGAGGACCTTCGCGTTAAGGAACAGCCTTCCTGCGGTTGCCTTTATTTGTAAAGCGCTATCAGTTGCGTGTGCCTTCTACCGAGCAGCCGAAGCAAAAGGGAATAAAAACTGGCTCGCTTCCGCCTGCAGAGCCACAGGCGGGAGCTCCCTCCCAGGTCCTCCGGGCACCTTTGAAGGTCGGTTTTCTTTTCCTTTTGAAAAAAGGTGCACGTTCCCCACCGGGAGCTCTCAGGAGGTCATTGTGGTCCTAATAAGCCTTTCTACGGTAGCCCATCCTGCCCCCCCGGCCATCTCGGATTTGCGGGGGGGGGGAGGCTTCCAGAACTCAAAAGAGTCTCCTTCCCGGTCCTGGAGCATCAGGTTGTCAGGAAGGGCGTCCAGGATCCTTGCTCGAAGCCCTCTCACACTTGCTGCTCATATTGTCCTTCCGTGGCAGTGAAAAAGTCCTCCAGGACCCCTTTCAGGAACTCGAAGGTGGGCCGTTGCTCCGGGCTCTCCCTCCAGCACTGCAGCATCAGTTTGTACAGCTCTTCCGGGCAGTGATCCGGTTGCGGCATCCGGTAGCCTCGCTCCAGGTTTTGGATGACTTCTGGATTGCTCATCCCTGGAGCCATAAGAGGAGCAGCTCGTGAGAACAGGCTGGGGTCCTGGAGGGGCCGGTTCCCCCCACAAAGCCCGTGAAACAAAGCACCCCCCAAAAAAAGATGTGGCTGTGTCCCCCCAGAATCTGTACCTGAGAGCCGTGTTTCTCAACTTGGCAACTAAGAGGTGTGGACTTCAACTCACAGAATTCCCCAATTTTAAAGCTGCCAAGGTCGAGAAACACTGCCTTAAACCCATGTTTCTCAACCTTGGGAACTTGAAGATCTGTGGACTTCAACTCCCAGAATTCCCCAGCCTGCCATGCTGCATTCCTCATGCAGGCTGAGGAATTCTGGGAGTTGAAGTCCACACATCTTCAAGTTCCCAAGGTTGAGAAACACTGGCTTAGACAAAGGCAAACTTGTTTTGTGTTGACCACAGCAATGATGAGACAAGTGGAAACGAATTGTGGTTTGCTGACCTGGGTAAGGGATCCGGCCATAAGTGATGATCTCGGTCAGTAGAATCCCAAACGACCAGACGTCTGACTTGATGGTGAATGTTCCATAATTGATGGCCTCGGGGGCTGTCCACTTAATTGGGAACTTTGCTCCTGAAGGAAGAAATCTTGAGAGAGTCAGAATGAGATCTTGGTGCAGGACAGACCCTCCCTGGCATCTGGCACCCCTTTGGCTCTGTGGGTTGGGGATGCCAGGAATTGCGGTCCAACCCATCTGGAGCGTTGGAAGGCTGAAAAAGAGACGCTCATTTTTCCCAGGAGGAAAACTGGTAAATGTTATTGCATTGGCCACAAGAAGGAGCTGTACGCTGTGGAATGCCAGTATTTATGCCACACGTCGTTTTGCACATCATTAGAAATGTTTCTCATCTGTAAAATCCGAGTTTTTGTTGATGGCCAGCACTGCTAGAGAGAATTTGCCCTTTCCCCGACCTTCAGTCACCCTTGATACGTCTGACAATGTGCATTTGGTCCCACCCAAAGTTATGCCACAGAATCCCTGCAGTTTCTAAAATATTTTAAATATTTTAAAATTCTAGAGTTAAGTCCACACATTTTAAAGTTGCTAAGGCTGAGAAACACTGGGCCACAGTATGCAAGGATCTCTTCAGAGAGCTGCATCTCAAAACCACAGATCCCCCAATGTGCCAGCTGTGCCCAGAGCTTTTTCTCGCTGCCTTTCCCTGCAGGTGTGCAACACACCCCTTGTGGGCTCCAGCTTTCTCAGGAAACGGACTGGGACACTGGCCCAAAGCCAACCAGCTGCGGCTCTAAAACGGTGGGGCAGTTTGGGGAGACAAAGTTGAGCTAAAGGAGCAGGAAGGATTCAGACCCTTTAGCCAGGCTCGGGGGTGCATCACACCCCTACCTTCTAAGGATCACGTTTGTGTGCAGAGTACCTGTGGATAAGTCATCTGTTCTGGCTCCTTCCCACCCCCCCATCCCTTCTTCAAAATAGTTCATGGATCTTGGTCTGCCCATTCAGAAGAATGAGGTCTTAGCAGGAATGTCTCCCGGGGGGCCGGGGGTTAAAAAAAGTTGAGAAAGTGGCTGTGATCCCACAATCAAAGCCCCACTCCTTTTTACATGCATTGCATCCCATGCATCAAAAAGGACTGGGTGTTTGATGCTGCCATCTTGAATTTTTGACCACCACCACCCTCCCCTGCGGTCCTTCCCCCAAGAAAGAAAGCTTGGCTTGCTTGGCCAGGCCAGGGGGGCAGAAGAGACCCACCCTCCTGAGCCGTGTATTCGTCGTCCTCCATAAGGCGGGCCAGGCCGAAATCTGCAATCTTGCAGCAGAGGGTCTCGGACACCAAGATATTGGCAGCTCGCAGGTCACGGTGGATGTAGTTTTTCTTCTCCAGGAAGGCCATTCCTTCTGCTATCTTTGGGGGAGAAGAGGAGACATGCGTGACATACTTGTGGGCTGCATTTCCACCCCGGCTTTCCTCCCAGGCACTCAGTCAAGTGGAGCTCACTTCCTTTCCCACACACCCTCACCATCCTGCTACGGACGAGGCTGAAAAAGGCCCTTGGCCTCCACCCAGCCCTTACTGCCCTCTGAACCCTGGGCTTCCTTGGCTCCCAAACCGCTCACTGCCCCACATGGGGGAATGTCCCGCTACTGCTCTTTTAATAGGGCGGTGTTTTATCCAGAAAACGGGAATCACCTTCTAAATATCCTCAGAATGAAGGTCCTGAGTAAAGGTAGGTGGCCAAGCAGGGTGTTTTCGTGGGCAGAGCCTGTCTGGGTTTTATCTTAACCTGCAGCCTTTCTGACTCCTCTCGGCTGTTTCTGCAGTCAACAGACTGAATTGGACCATGGAGACATGGAGGCTCTTGCCTAGCTGGCACCGGGAGCCAGAGCGCCAGGCGGACGCGCTCGCCTGGCTCTTAAGGAGGGGAAAAGCAGGCGCTCCCCGGAAAAGTCAACGTTCTCTGCCAATACGGAAATGGAACCGTGCACAGACCAGGTTAAGAATATTGTGGGATTGTTGTTCCAGAGAGATTCAAGCTACATCCAACTAAATAGCTCCTCCACCTGACTCCCTCCAGATGTTCTGGATAAGAGCTGCTTCTTTCCTAGCCTCAGGAATGATGGGACATGTAGTCCAATACCTCTGGAGGACATGCGGTTGGAGAAGGCGAGGATACCCATTTTATTTGGAACAGAAGCAACACCGCAGGTCCCAGCTGCAGCAGAAGCTGTTTCTACCATCTTTTTCATCCCTAGAAATAAGTTTTCTACCCATCCTGCCTGCTTTATCTCCTCCCCCCACTATATTATTTTGTTCATACCTGTGCGGACATGTCTAGAAGTTTATAAATTGTTAATTTGGTGCCTTCAGCAGCTTTGAGAAAATCGACCAGGTTTCCTAGAAGGAAGCAAGAAAAAGAAATCACCAGTCAGAACATGTGAATTATTGTTTCAGAGGCACTCAGAGGATATGAGTGCCTCTGAGCATATGCAAAGTGACTCTTCCCAACCACAGAATAACTGTAGTCATCCATTTTGACAGAGCCTTCACTAACTTGGTTCTTGATCAGGGGTGTCTGCAGGGTGGGGTTTAATAAGTTGACGGAGCTTCAATTGTAGTGTTGTGGCAGCCATCTTGACTTTTTTGACCCTGCCCTGTGGGCACCCCTGTTCTTGGCAGAAGTCTTCAGACAACAGTTCCCAGAATTCCCAAACAGCAAGGACAAGGATTGTGCTGGCTATGGACTCTAGGAGTTGTAGTCCAACATCTGGAGGGCAGCAGCTGGAGAAGACTGCCCAAGATGTCTTGATGGTGCAAAATTCCAGAGCAATGGAAAACCTTTGCTATGAGGGAAGGATCTCTCTCCAGAGAAGCCATGATTCTAAAATGACTCCAAAGATAAAAGCTCCCGGTCACCATTCCCAGTAGAGGGAGGGAGATCTAACCCAGCATGGTGGGCGGAGGGGGGAATCCCTTCATTCTGATCCACTGAAATGACTTTGTGCATCTCCCATTAATGGCAGAAAATCTTTTCTTTTTTTTGTATTATGCCTTTGCTAAATTATCCCTACAAGATGCTCTCCAGATGTAACAAACCACAACTCCCATAGCACCAAGCCAACACATCTGGTGGGCATCCACTGGGGAAGGTTGGCTTAGAAAGTTAATTTTTTAAAAAGTTGTCCCTGAAGCATTATTTCCTTGCAAGTGCCAAGCAAGGTCTTAGGGGATGTGTAGTTCCATTATTTCTACAAATAGTTGAACTACGGATAGCTGGACTAGCACTAGAATGCAGCATTCCAGGTGGCCAATAGGGGGCCGCTGTGAGCCATAATGTTCTGTGCCCCTCTACTGCCATCTGGTGGTCATCCAGAGATCTGCATCCCAGACTGAAATTTATCTCAGATTGAAATCTGGAAATTTGCATCTCAGAAGCCACGTTTTAGGGATAAAAGAAACTTCCTCCCTTTTTGTATTCTTCTATTCTGACCAACCTGGGAATAGACCAAAATACCCCTTTAATTTGAGGAAGCAGGCGTACGTGTGTGTGTGCATGTTCCCCTCCTCTAGCTGTCTCCTCTCAGTTCTGATTCAAAGCCAAATTCTTCTGCTGGGACATCTCACAGGAAAGAATGTGACCACGTTCCAGATGCCTTAAACCACAACAGAGTAAAAATCTCTGCCTTTCAAACCCCGGAAAGAGGGGCAGCCGAAAAGCCGGACGGCCCCTTGGACAGACAGAGCCAGGAAAATTCGCCATCCACCCTCACCCCGTTGCCTGCTCTTGAGCGGAGCAGGGAGTGAAATGGTTCTCACGGATGGGTTTAAAACACAGGCAGCCCAAAGTGAGACTAAAATCTGCTGGTACACCCGGATGTCCTGTGTGATACGATCAGCAGGAATTTCACATTCCCCAAGGTTGAGCATTGTAGGGTCCAATAGCAGATAAAGTGAAAAACTTATCATGGCTGATCTGGTGCTCATGGCTCCCAAGGGTCAGAGTATCTGGCCCCTCACCTATTAGCCCTGACGCTTGGTTACATCTGTGGGTATTTCAGATGGCCAGTTTTAAGTGAACGATAGGGGCATTTTATTTTAGCATCGTAAAAGCTGGTCGACTCCCCCTTCAAGCATCGGTTGTTAGCATCTGCAGATCAGGCAAAAACAGCCCAAGACCGTCACTGCAGCTGCACGGTCAGAACCCGGCCCCTTTTTAAAGGTTGGGCCACGGGCCTAAAATGGGTGGGGCTTCAATGATAAAACGGCAGCCGAAGGTTGAAGAGCAAGGAACGAAGAGGAGAAGGAGACGGGCTGTTTTTCCTATGTATGGGACTGATGGAAAGGAAAATACTGATTTCATTAAGAGAGGGGAAAATATGCCGTGCGGGAATGAAGGTTTGGCCCAATGCACTTTCATGGACAGAAAATTAAAATGAATTATAATACACCAGTGTTTCTCAACCTTGGCAACTTTAAGCTGTATGGACTTCAAACCCCCGAAATGTGGCTGGGGGAATTTTGGGGTTTAAGTGCCAAAAAGTTTAAAGTTCCAAAGGTGAGAAAAAAAGGAGAGCGCCAAACCAG